ATTGGACGAGCGATGTGGATCGTTTAAAGCGACTAATTGAAGTGTTATAAATGGTGTGGCAGCGTTGTAAATTCATTCCATCAGAACAACACCATTTATGGATACCATTATATGCGCTTATATGATTACTTGGAAATAGAGATATTAAGAAAAAATTCTCAGAATTGCTTGAAAATATTATAATTTTCTAAAGATTATGAATATAAGATATTCATTTTTATGTTTAAAGAGAGATTAAATATGAATTTAAACAAAGAGAAACAATTTTTTTTAAAAATATCAGTTTAAATTTCTATAAAAAGTTAAATGATTAAAATATTGAAAAAATTGTATTCTTTACGTTGCAAGAAATTATGTGTCCAATATTTAAATAAAATATAGGGATAACTTCGTTAAAGTTCTTAGTCAAAGTTTCAAGTTCTTATCTCCTCTCATTTCTGTCAATTTCCTTGCACAGAAAGGCAAAACATGCTTACCTTAACTTAGACTAATTTTATGATCTCTATGTATATCCCATATATATGACCATATTATTTAACCCGGATATTCTTGTTCATCACTTTTCAATAAATATTAAACATAAATAATTTAACACTTCATTCAATTCGCCATTCTCTTTAATCTGAATCCAAAATCTCTCTACGAAAAGAATAGTTTTTATAAAAATCTTTTATAGTCATATAATAGATTCTTATAAGTTTATCGTCCGTTCTATTAACAATTATCCAATCCAGATTTTAGTTAAACATTTGTTAATAAATTATTTCTATCCTCTTGCATATCAATTATTTTTTCAAAGTCTGCTGAAGCGCAATTCAATTTGATCACGTGTTCAAATGTGACGAGCAAAATCACAAATGCTTTTATTTTTCTTAAACGTGTAGTATATGAGAAATAACTCTTTGGTCTCATTTTTTTCCATCTTCTTGTTTTTTTTTTTTTTTTTTAAACGTGTAGTATATTGGAAAAAACTCTTTGGTCTCATTTTTTTCCGGCTTCTTGTTTTTTTTTTTTTTTTTTGACTCAGGTTGACACGCAATACTTAAGAGGGCCTCACATCACCGAGGTGGATCGCGAGGGTTTGGAAACGGCTGTGCTAGGTCTGGAGTTTCGTCTGCGTACGAAGCACTTCAAGAGGGGTGATCTGAAGATCAAATGCCTGGCAACGATAGCGACTGTATATTGGAAATCGAACGAGCTCAGCATAGAGGGTGAAAGGCCCCTCAAGATGCCCGTTATGGAGAGCAGGGAGACAAGGGCGCAAGGCCATACGCATGCGGAACATATCTTAGGGGGTAAGAAAATGATACATATAAATATATATGATTGATTTTCAACTCTTTTTGTATTATATTTTAATACATTTATGACGTTATGATATGAAATGGACATCTCTAAGACACATGCTGTCTGGAATATATATTTAAATTATCCTGTATGATATTTCTCAAAGTAAAGTCATAAAAAAGTTATTCCTCTGGACGAAAAGCATCAAAAATGTAGAACGACAGTTTTTCGTGGAAGCTTCTATTCTGAAGGAAAAGCACTTTGAAGAGATCGCTTAAGGACGCGTGCACTTGGCGGAGGAGATTCAGTGGTTCTCATTTTTCATTTTATATGGATCCTGTAAAAAATATGTTCAAAAATAGATTAATTATATGATTTATTTATTATGAAAATTAATATATATTGATAAAAAAAGGTTTTGTTAAATAACAAAAATCATAGTTGATAATTTATTGATTATTGAAGAAAGATATTATAGAAATATGAAATTCTTTCCAATAACATGAAAATCATGATATATCATTTGAAGTAACCCTCATACAATAAATTTATGGATGATAATAATTATACCAATTTTTCAATATGAATATATTTCACATTTATATTCTTTAATAATATATTTATATAATAATATATAACTTATTATTTCATTAGATTGTAATAAATAATTTTATGTTCGTATAAATATCACATATCATAAGATACTTACTAATAAAAATTATATATTAGTAAAATTTAAAAATTAAAAAAAATTATATATAAATTTAAAAATTTGTTATATTCAAATTTAAATTTGAATTAAAATGGTAATTTGATAATTTTAAAATAATCTTAATTATCTTAAATTTTTTAAAATATGTGTTAATCTATCTTCAGTTTCAAATGTTCCAATATTTTTCTCTGGAAAGAAAAATCTATAAATGATCCCAAACTACTGAAACATTAATCGTCAAGATCGATGCCAAGAAAGAAAAATCCATCTATCTACGTAGAAATATGGTTAAAAAAATTGTGACAACGAATCAGAGACATGTTCGTTTGCCGACAATTTGCTGACTTATGGATGCATACGTGATGTCAGTAAACTTGTGTGTCAGTAACTGTGAATGCAATTCCCTCGCCAATATCGATTGAATTAAAGCCACGATATGTTTCAATTTTTTCATAACATTTTTTTTTTTATCTTTTTTTCTTTATTCAATACTAGTTTTAATTTATGTTTCAGGAAGCGGAAGCAACATGTTAGCACCATGCATCTTTCTTTTGATGACAAGTATATTGATTCTACGATAAGAAGACTCAAGATGTGGTGCATCGTCCTTTTCGTGCTCATCCTTTTCAGGTCTCCTCAAATTGTGACATATGGAGATCTCTGGTGTACTAAATTATCCGTGTTGTTTCTATTTTTTATAATCGCAGTTAGTGAAGTTAGTGAGAACATAGACGAGAGAATATACTTAATAAAAATATATGTCAGTATGTTATAAAGTTAGAGAATGAAAAGACGGGTGTTGTAAATTCGTACTTGCTGAATCACTTTATAAATCTCTGTGCATCTTCCATCAATTTGTATACTTTCGACACTTTTTCTCTATATACTCTTGTACAAGCTTGATATATCTCTGAAAGTTTTAAATTTAAATTCTAAATTTTAGGATTTAAAATATTTTTATAGATTTAATTTAAAATCCTTAAATTTGAAATTTGAAATTCTAGATTTTTATATATAAGATGCATAGAAATTTAAGGATTCATTAAATATATCATCATATGGTTACTTGAAAAAAAGATTTTATTCAATTGTTGATACAAGAAAACAAAGTTTAAAAAACAAACTCGATTTATAAATCTATGTTTGTATCTTCAGATTCTTGAAATTGCCGCTCTATGTACTTTTCTTTCCTTCTCTTTTATTGTCTTTTATTGTTAAGGAAATCACAAAATGAATGAACAAATAATCAATAACAATGAACGAATGAATGAATGAACGAATGAATGCTGAGCATATTTATATTCTAATTGTACACGAGTGTTTCTATCGTCCAGTTGCATGAGAGAGCAAAAAAACATTTTAATCCGGTGAGAGTGTTCTTGACATAGCTTTTATCAATCTAGTCGCTATTAATCAACTGCAGAGATATGTATGTTATTCTAGAAATTATTGTGAATCGTGTGTACGTGTGTGAATGTAGAGTGTATTTTACCAAAGAACATTTTACGCTAAATAACATTCCTAATTGTTAATTACAAGTGAAATACATAGAGTGAGTTGGAAAACCACTCTTTGCATATCGTATTTTACTGTAAAAATGCACACTGTACATATGTACATAAATTGAACTTTTATCTTTAATTTAACGTTCTGATAAATAAAACGGCGTTTACGTCGATGGATCAGACAAAAATTTTAGTTCGAAATAGCTTTTTAATTGTAACTCTGTATGCGTGCGTGTGGGTGTATATATTACTTGTATCGCATATAAATTAGAAAAATCATAATGTGGAAGTATTGAAGAGGCATCTTTCGGTAAAAAATTGATGCCGCTTTTTTTGAGATTTGAAAGATTTATCTGGTGATTTGGCAAAGAAACTGGAAATCTTCTGCTCCCCAGGATTCCTTACGTCTTCCATTTCTTCCCATTCAACGGATAAGGCATCTGATTCCAGAATCTTTTCAGCGGTAGACCAGCTGAATCTGACTATACGCGGAAACCCAAATACGGGATCCACATTTTCGGACAGCCATTTTTTAGTCTCTGGATCATTTGGATATCCACTTCCGTATTCTGTCATTATCGACCCTTCGAGAAATTGCCAAGCTCTTATAGCATGATCACGAGAGACTTTAGCGCAAATACTGGCAGCACTGACAATAGGATACGTGGAGTCGGCCTTCTTCGCGACTGTTATCTTTATATTTGGAAAAATTTGTTCCAATTTGGCTTGATACTTTTCTGGCTTACCTATCGTGTCTACATAGATCTCCGTGATCCTTGCACCAGCTTCAATCACTAATTTAGCTAGCTCAATCGCGGAATTCATAGACACCTCGTTCAGAGAAATCTTTACACGACGATACATGCTATTTGAAATAACATTAGGAGATATGACATCCACAGCCCAACCTATTGTCTTGTACTGTTCACAAATTTTATCGAAAATTGTATCTCTTTTTTCCTCTGTCAAACTCTTGGAATCAGCACAACCTAGATCCACGAGAAGCTGTTTTTCGGATAGAGGTGCGTAAGAAATTCCATAAACCATGGGCCCAAGGACTGGCCCACGTCCAGCCTCGTCGATACCAAGCTGACACGGTTCATCCTTACATATTTGTGGTACCTAAGAAAAATTTGAAATGGAGAAGATGACATTAAACACACATTTTGTTTGAAAAATTATTCACGAATGAATATTAATTAGAAATGTATTATTGAAAAAATCAATGACTTAACAATTAAATAATATTTATTTGTAAAAAAGTTTATTTTATATTCTTATATTAATATAATAGAATATATATATATATATATATAATATAGTTATTTATTTGCTGTTTTTCAATCATTTTTTATGAGATTCTATAAAATTTAATCATTTTTATAAATATTTTTAAATATTTTATATATTTCATTAATGATATAACTAATTTATATTTATAATTTTATGTATTGTAAAAGGACAATTAAAAATCATAACAGTAGAAAGTTGCATGCTATTTGAAATAATGTTTATCATGTTTTTAATATTTATTAAGAAAAAATCAAATTATGTTCTAAATTTTATCAATACTTAATAACCTCATATTATGTTGTGGTTTTAGTGATATTTTAAGAAACTAACAATTGAATTAAATGAGAAAATAAGAAAAATAAGAAAACAAAAAATTTTATTGGAATAAATAAAATATATTCTTCTTTTTTATATATATATGTGTGAATATATTTACATATATATATACATATTTACCTTTGACAAGTGAACTTTATTGTTGCTGTGATCCCAGGCTTTAAAATACGGGGTTAGATCATCTCTGCAGGTAATTTTAATATCTTTAGAATGATTAATACAATTTTCGTCCAATGTTATTTCTTTAACATTACTCATAATATTTGTTTTGTTCTTCTTAATGTTTATGTGTTTTTTATCAGTCGAAAAATGTATAACTTAACCTCAAAATAAAATATTAACATTTAGACTAACCGCCAAAATTTATGACATGAGTATCGATAAATCGTATCGAAGTATAATAAATGATTTTTTGATACAAGTGAACATCGTTTTCTTAAATAGCAAAAGAATAATTAATAAAACTAAAAAATTCACAATGTTTCGAAATATTTTATAAGAATTTAATAAAATGATTGATTAAATGTTTAAAAAGAGAAGAAAAGGAAAATCTCGATGACACGTATCTATCGATAAAGAACATTCAGTATCGACTTCTGTATTTGCACGTCTAAGGGTTTCTGACTACCTGTGTGCATGTGTACGCGTGTCCTCGGTAGAAATAGTTGATGACGCCGTGTGTTAGTAATATCGTGTGTCGCAAAATATAACCTCACAATAAAATGCTCGAATCCTTATCGGTGTCATTAAAGGTCCCGTTCTTGAGAAGAATTTGATTTTACACATTCGTTTTGGTTTACGGACGCTTCGGCGTGCACATTACATCATGAAAGTTATCGTGAAGAAGCTTCAAGGAAAAGAATGCGTTGTTGACGTGAGTACTCAGCACCTTGGATTCTTTTTTTTTATATTTATAAGAAACGTTACACGATAAATTTTTTGTCAGCCGCTGACGATGTTTCTAGAAATTTATCAGATTCAAAGATGGTATCTTTTCCATATTTTAAAATAATCACTTAATTTTGATGTCTTTTCACATTTAAAATGGTTTTAATGCTGCTTAAATACATTTTATGGCATGTTGAAATTTTATTAAGTAATTGTTTATTGTAATAGATTACACCTTCGGATACAGTTCTTCAGTTAAAGCACAAAGTCAGCGATCTTTTGGGTATAGATGTTCCACATCAGAGACTGTTGCTTACGGGCAAGGCATTAGCTGGTGAGATTCAAACTACAAAGAAAATAAGTTAATTTTTTTAGATTAACAATTTAATATTTTGATGAAACAAATTTTCAGATGAAAATCCACTAAGTTTTTATCCAGGAATCAAAGATGGAAGCAAGTTAAATCTTTTGGTTATTAAAAAGACAGAGGAAGGATCTAGTGAGGGAAAGGCTTCACATAGCAAGTCTGGCATGTATCTCTTACGAGATGAAATTTCTAGAGTTCTGAGGCATTATTATACAGAATCAGAAACAGAGTCAATAATCAATGAATTGATAAAAGACCTAAAGAATAAAGTGAATAATCTTAGTTATGATGACTTAGAAAGATTAGCAACTGCACTTCTTCAGGACCAAGAGAATATAGCTTAAGAATAAACTTCGGTTTTTCAATTTCTCACTTATTATTTGATTATTGTAATACACTTTTATTTAATTAAAAAATGTTGCCTCATTGTACCCTAATAACCAGTAGTATATTTTAAGTAAAGGGAAAGGTGTGCAAAAAAACAATACAAATGTATTAAAAGGTCGATTTTATTAAATCATACACAAAGTAAATAATTTAAATTGCACTTCAATAAAAATTAGATGGTTTTAAGGATCGGCCAAATCCAATTGACGGAAATATCTCGCAACTAGACATATAAATAAATTCAGTGCTCCTATTTCATGTATTTCCAGTTTCTTCTAAAAAAATAAACGAAAAAAAAGAATAAAAAAGTAGACACAATTAAAATTCACAAGAAATGACCCAACTTCGGATTATTGATTTTTACGAAATTTTTAGAACAAGTTATTTTTCGTTTTGCATTTGTTGATAACATTAGAAAAATAAAATAGAAAAATAAATAATTTTTTATTTAAATTTATTAATAAGTGCAAAATATAAAGTAGTTTGTTGAAAATTTAAATTCAAAATCAAATTATTAATTTTTATGAATAAATTTATTTAATGCATATGGAAATTTAATTTAAATCAGAATTCCGAAGTTGGAATCTTCTGCTTGTTAAATGGTGAATTAATTAAAAAAAAATCTGTAAACAATTTTTGTTTCATTTTAATACAAATGATGAATTTTTTTTTTAACTATTATTTTAATTTACTTCCTGATTAATGTCAATGACAAATTTAATATACAAATATGCAATAAAATTGATTTGTTAAAAAATAAAAAATATTGCTTTTCTAATATTCTTTATTACCGATTTTGCACGCATGATTGAACATGTTCTAGCCAAAGATCTTAAACAGGAACATGTATCTGGAGTTAATGGCATTTGCAGAACAACTAGCAATGCATATATCCATTGACCCAATTCATATTCTATCTTTTCCAGTGTTTCAATGTGTTCCACTAAATATTCTAATATTTGTTCTACTTCTGGATGATTTAAACAAAAGATGATATCCAATGTTGGAGCAATTCTTGTTTTTTCCTTATCATTACTTGAACAAAATTTGATCCAACCTTTTTCATCATCAATACTTGGCTGTAAAATTAAGATGTTAACATTAAGGCAAATATATAGCAAACATTCAAAAAATTTTAGTAAATACCATATCAATTTTTGGACGTTTCCATTTACGTTTTAATGATTGAATTTCATTTTTCAATTGACTTATATATAATCTGATATTGGAAAAGTCTGATACTTGATATAACTGCCAATCAAGCGAAGGGCCAAGCCATGGTGGTGCCTCCATACAGCCTGATAACTTATAACGTTGCGTTTACATAATTATTATATATGTTGTTTAAATTCTAACAAGTGTAGAATTCTAATTTCTCGTATAAACGATTGTAAAACATCGTTTGCAAACTTACAGGTTCGACATCAATTGTAGGTTTCCCAAAATGTTTCCGATCAATGTCGGCTACTACAATATCAGCACATTTCTGCGCTTCTATTCTGTAATAATATCATAAATTTAATTATTCGATTTTTGATAATTATTTAATCTTTTACTTACACTACTCTTTTAATATATTCTTCTCCGGAAGTTGGAGGCAAGGATAGGTTAAGATCCTCATCAATTTCTCCAACAACGAAAGCAGGTTTTGCTAAATAATCTGTCATTTTTCTTATTATTTTTAAATAATTATTAAAATTATTTATTTCAATCTATAAATAGGTTATATTGTTTCTTTCAGATGAAGTTATTTATGGTCACCCCCTCTATGTAAATTTAGTACAAAGTTTTCATATTTCATATTCTTTTCATATTTTTATGATGCAAGGTATTAATTAGGAAAAAAATATTCGAAGGAGACATATTGAATTTATGCATCTGAATAAAATAAATAATAAAATAAATAAAAAAAATTAATCTGCCTAATTAAATATGTAAACTATATTTAGTATTTATTTAGCGCCATCTCTTTGAAAAATGTTCAAACTTATAAACTATTATCGACAACAGAATATTATTAAGAGAATCTTACAATATAAATTTAAAAATCGATCAATAAGGCTATTTCTTGAGTGCTTAAATATTTAAAAACAGGATAAACTAAAATAAGAGTTCAGTGTCATTTTTGAACACTATATTTTGATTTATCTTTAATTTTTATTCTACCTTATCCTTTAAATAAATGTTTTTAGTATTCAAGAGATGACGCTGCACATCAATTCTTATCCTATTTATTTTTTTGTGTTTCATTTATGGCACTCTGAAGATGGCGCTGATTTCTATATTTTTACACTATCTCTGTCTTTTTTTCTCTAGTTACTCTCTTTGTCTATATTTTCAAATTATTTAAGAAATAGCACCAATTAATTAGTTTTATGATTTGTCTTGTTAAAACTATTCATTACAAATTTTAACAAAATTTATATATCGCCGGAGATCTATATATTTATATTTATAATTTTGATATATATTTTATATATTTTTGATATTTCTATATGTCATATTTATATATACTATATTTATTTTTTTGTATTCTTATATATTGTATTATACATAATAACAAATATAAAAACTTAAAAATATATACTATAATATAAAATGTAATAAATATATTATTCGATAAGTAGTATAGATCAACCATTATTTCATCAAGCACTATAAATCAACTATTATTGGGATAAATAATATATATGTATAAAAATACAAAAATATATATATATTATAAATATACATATAATAACAAAATAAATACAATCAGAATGAAAGAAAACATCGCGATAAATATTAAAAAATGATTTTCACTATTATCCACCATCTCTTTGTGAAATAATTTGCCTTCAAGATATCTTAAGAAAGCCAACCTATGGTTTATAATCCATCCTGTATTTCCATACAAATTAACGATACTTCAAGGCCTCGAAACGAAATTTCTGGCGGGATAGGATCTTTGGTGGGATAACATAAAAAGAGAGAGAAAAAGAGAGAGAAAAAGAGGTTGCGCCTCTTTCACGGCACAAAGGGAAAGCCGGCTATTTGTCTGCCTTCCCTTGCTGGTCTCTGTTATTAAAGTCTTCGCGTCTTTATTTCACTGGGCCATTGTCGAGGTTGGGAAAAAGCTTGGCGAAGTTTCTCTCCAGTTTGATAGCCCCAAAACAGAAACGGGAATTTCAGACGCCTTGTCTTTTTCAGAAATAAGTTTAGCCTGCCAGTGTCTTTAACTCACTAGGAGCTCGACGTTTTATGACTTCCTTTTTATCTCTGCAATTTTTATTATTTGCTCTCATGGTATTTTTAGTTACATTTGATCATATTACCGCATCTTGTACTGTATTTTTGTGTTGTGTATCTTTAAAAATAAAAATAATGAAATAATTAAATAAATAATATTACTCCTTTATGTTCTTCTATTAATTTTTGGAAATTATCTTTGTGATAATAATAATTCTAAAATACAGTATTTTTGAAATATTGTATTGTTATTCTAATAAGCTTTATGCTTTTCTTTTAATTTCTCAAAATTGAATTTTCTAAATGAATGAAGAAGATTAGAGAAAAAATATTTTTGAAATTTTATTATTTAATTAAATTTCTTAATTTAAGTAAGATTTAATAATTAAATATTTAAAAAATATATTGTTATAACAATTAATAAAGTGATTCAAGTTTTTTAAAATCTATAATATAAAACATTGGTTCTTCCAGCGACCATTGTACGAAGAAAAAAAACTTGTCTGGATGCAAGAATGCGTTTCATTTGAGATCATTTACACGGTTGGCCTACTTCCCAGCTTTTTGTACTAATATTACATTCGAATTTTACGAGTTACATGAAAATAACCCGTTGTCTCGGCCACAAAAAAAAAAGTATTGTTAAACCTCGATCAACAATCCACTCGATGATGTGGCCGATATAAAAAATTCTATTCTCTTCTCTCAGTCTAGAAGAACAACGATATTACTGGATTACTGTTTCAAAGTGGCGGGATTTTTAGAACTTTTAACTTTTTGTACTTACTAATCTATCTTTAAACTCTTTTTCAGTCATAAACAATAAATATCTCTAAAATTAACTAAAATCAAAAAATGTCTTTTAATCTTATTTTAAGATTATAATCATTGTTTTTCTTATATATATAATATATATATAATAATTATATTATAAAATATTAATAACAATTAAGAAAATTATTAAAGAATATAAGTAATATGATTTCTTAGAATTCGTAGAAATTAAAAAATTAAAATTAGAGATAGGAAAGAGTTAAGAGATTCTTCTCGTTATACAACTTTTAATTATAATTGGTTCGATTTCCGTACTACCGGAGTTTCTATCCGAGCTTCGTTAGACACAGCTGTGGAACTGACAGTCGTAACATCGATTTTTTTTTCTTCTCTTCACCACTTTCAATGTTCTCCTGACGTCCTTAATTAATGACAATGAGAACACATTGTTAGTTCTTCGACATGACAAGTTTCGCGACTGTCGTTTGCGAATTAATTTTCTTCTCTCTTGAAGATTTACATGCTTCATCAAACTATTTTCACATTGAAACAACGTTTAAGCTAATTGCACTCACATTTTAAATGTTTCATTAAAATCTAATTATGTATAATTATTATTATACATTTAAGTTTTAAAGATAAAAGTCTGGTATTAAAATTTCAATCTTTAAATTTTCTTTTTTTTTTTTCTTCATCTATTATATCTAATTTGGATTTAAATACAGTGTCTATTAATAGACACTTGTATAAATAAGTTAAACTCTATTTAAAAATTATCAATAGTAATATACTTTTGCTATAAAAAAATATATAAATATATATTTTTACTATAGAAAATATATTTATTAGCAAATAATATGAAACTAATGATAATTTATTCCTTTTCTTAAAATTATTCCATGCAATTAGAGTTAAATATCCTGGCAGAGTAGAGGTAATTTCCTAAGGTATCAAGAGGAATGCAAATGAATCTTCTATTTTATGTTGATGACCCTCTAACCCTCTTCCCACGAATCGTGGCAGCCAAGGAACTAGCATTTATGGCGTTTATCAGTACATCAGCTGGTATCGCGCACTCTCGTTAATGAGAATTATGTCAAGGAATCGTATCGATTAAAGCTTAGCCCAGATACTCGACGAGGGAGTGTCGCTTCATTGATTTACTATCATGCGTTGCCTATCAGATTTGCTAGTCAGATGACATTAGATCTTATTTCTTTATCGTATCCCTGTTTCTTCATTGCTAATGTAACATCACTGAAATAGTTGAAGAAGTTAAATTGATATAACAAGTTTGTGTTTCCTTAAATGAGAATTTCTTCTTGATACAAAGTTTAATTCAAGACTTGATACTTGTTTCTATTTTCTTGGTTTTATTTTTCTTTCACTTTAGTACAATTTAGTATTGAAGTTCTTCTTTATTTTTGAACATTGGGGAGAAGATTGAATCCATAAAGTTTATACTTTAATTGAATTAAATTGCAGTTACTTGAAATTCATCTAAAAAAATAAAACTGAAATAATATTATATAATAATATAATATATATAATAATATATAAAACTGAATAATAATATTTTAATTTATTGAATTAAGAATCATATTTTTAAA